CCTTTGAAAGGCCAAGCGAGTGAAGCGAGAGAGCGAGAGAAGAAGCTAAACGTCCCAGCCGAGGAGGGAGCGCGTGGCTGGCGAGTGTTGTCCGAGCCAAAAACCGCTCGGGTCAATCTTCTAACCTCTACTAACTCGTCACTGATTTATATGATCTAATGCTTTCCCTCTCCGTCAGTCAGCGCGGCCACGTTGCCTCTCTGGAAAAGGCTTGCCGGTGCTCTGAAACAACGGCTTGCCGTTGTAAGGAAAATGTAACATTCCTAGAGACTGAGCTCTGGTCAAAATCTCTGTGAAGCACACGCGCTCCAAGAGAAGCACAATGCTCGCATGATGATCGTATGGCTGAGTCCTCGGCATCATTTAGTATGTCTCACTCAGAAGAAATTCACACAACTTGAGAGAGGACCGCGGATTCCATTCACCTGGCTCCCTATTCGTGGGTCGGTGGAAGCGGGATGCAGTCAACTCATCCGAGTGCGTATGTGAACACCACGGTACCATGTGGGAGTCGGGCTGCTGATGCTTCCGCGGCTGTTTTCAGAGATTAGAAAACAGACCCGCTTTTTTCTCTCAGACCAGAAACCGAATCCGCCGGGGAAAACGAAAGGTGAGCAGACACATCTCGTGTGTTTCCGGCTGAATGTGATGCTGATGCGACCTTTACTCTTAATGCTACTCAATCACCTCCGAAATTTCCACAGACAACTCTGTTCTAAGGTAAACACTCGGTGAGAGCGTACTCATGCTGGCGGTCGTATCGAGAAATTCCGTTCAGTGACGACTGCAGTACAAATAAACAAAGCGATGAGCGAGCAAGCGAAGGGAACTAGAAACTAGTTTCCGAAGTATTCGCAATACCGGTCGTGGATTTTTCGGTTGTTCGCGGAGAGTTCGAATTCCGGTGTCGCCACCAATGACGCTCGTCGGGATGCGTATGGAGCTCTCTGCTAAGATCCAGAGCTAATGAAAAAATACGTATATTCGCTCGCTTACCAAGTGACGCCCGAGCCGGATCCAACATCTCAGGGTGAATGGGACCCTAACCGAAAGTTTGACACGTTTTCGATATTTATTCATTACCATCGAGTCATGGATTGGTAGTTCCCTGATCCTCGCCAATCCGTATATTTTGAGAATTTCAACCATTCTTAGATCTCACCGTTGTGCAGTAACCTAAAACCTCACCGCTGAGATAGCCCCAAGTCTGCGGGACTGACAGCTTATCGAATTCTTCGATTTGCTTGCCATCCTCTCGCTCAACTGGACGCTGTCGCTGCAGTGTTGAAGGCTCTCCTGTGCCACCACACAATCTCGATAATTACACGGTATACAGTTAACGATTAGGAGGTCTTGCGGTTTCAGCTGTTCGATCCCACTAATCGAACGTGTGCAGTGTCTCCAGGACGTAATTCTATATCCTCTTGTTTTTCTGAATCTTGATCACACTCGCTGTCTTGCTCTCGACGTTCCAGGGCTTCGGAGGAAGAAGGCTCGACCGGGAGCTATCGGCTGCTGTTTCGCGCATCCCAAACTTTTCCGCTCGGATCGCAGACTCATCAATTTCACATAAAATGCGTCGTCAACGTGTTGAACGACGTCGAGCACCGACCCAGTACGACTTTTCTCTCCACGGGAAGCGATTTCCCTCCCGTTTTCCATTCTGTCCGGGGTCAGCCAGAGGATTCGTCCGACTCCGTTAGGAGAGATCCTCTCAACTGGTTGATAGCAGAAATAATCTCTCGCGGTGATTATTTCAATTTCGAGCGGTCTGTCAACTTCCCAAGAAATCACGCCTAGTTCCTGCGAGACCCCAGGCGGTGCTCGCCGTGAGAAATTAGTAGCAAGGCACGGGCTGAGGTCGAGAGCTTGTTTCTCCGTTTTAAGACGGATCGATACGCATTTCAAGCGATGAGCGTTTGTCGATGTCGGGCTCGGTCTCTGGAGTGAGAGCAACTCCGCGTTTTCCGACCCCCTTTTCGACGGAGACGAACAGTGCTTCCCACAGATGATATTCCGACCGGAACAGAGCTCGGAATCATCCCCTGAACGATCGTTTTTCCATAGCAGCTCAAGACAAATGGATCATCAGGCCTAAAGAGAGGAAAAATAATTCCTCTGCACTGTCATAGTAACTCGAGAGACAATGAACTCTCCAGAGTATATGGATCATCCATTGAGTGCCCAACGCCCATGCTATTCTGGAGGTTTTTGGGTGGTACAGCACACTGTTGCACTCCTGAGCCACTGTCGAATGATTGATGCCCTAATTGTTTTCTTGGTCCGTTACAGAGTGGAGGTTAGTTTCCAAAAACCCTAGATAGTCAATTCGTTATGCCTTGGAATCAAAAAGTATGACCTTGAGACAAAAATATCGGCTCAGTTTCTGCAGCTCCTACCCAGAAGCGGTGAGTGCGGCGCATGAATAATCTACGGGCAATTAGTGACAGTTCTCGGAGCTTGCATTCAATCCCCCAGTCAGCTGAAATTGCAAACCGATCCAAGGGGAGGATCGGAGCGCGACTCAAAGGAGGACCAGGAAGGAAGAACTGGATGAGAGGCTAAGAAATGAGCGAGAGAAAGGGCGAGACGCGACACACGCTATCATGACCGCTCAGATCGCATGTGTTTTATTCATCATCCACAATGACAAGCAACATCTATGGGCGTGGAACGTGTCGCAACACACAGACCTGCATACAGCATACGGCTTGTACACACATTGGAACAGACTCGCGCAAGTCTACGGACAGCCGGCGGGTCACAGGGCTTTAGAAATGATTACTTGCTGCGGTCGAGACTTCGACCGCAGCCGACAAGAGTCCCGACGCACAATCTCGGATCAGCGCTCCATGAATCCCGCAGCGATCCAGCTGCCTTCAATTTGATAATTGAAAGAAAAATTATCAGATGAATGACTGATTGCGCCATTATCCAACCATATCGGGAATCTCCGCGGCGTGGCACTCCTTTCAAAGGGAAGCCCGAGGCGCCGAGCTGAGACACCCTGTCTTCGCCCAGTACCCGATTCATTGCGGAGCTTTCACTTTGCTCGATACCCGATCAGTGAATAAATCAACGCCAATCAGCCCGGCATGGTGCCTCCGCTCCGGTGCGGCTATCAAAAGCGTTCTCGAGCCGACATGCAGTGAGAAACTCTTTGAAAGGTGACTTGGATTTTGTTTATGCTATTTCTGATCATTTATTCGCACGCGAAACTCCTTGCGATCTGTGGCTCCGCACATCAGGGTCATGCGGGAGGCCACTCCTGTGGAGGAGTACGCTGGCGCTACCCGCAGGTATGGGATCAGATTTATGACTCTCAGAATGGCCAATCCCAATTCAAAACTCCTCCGAGAATCGGAAGAGACGCCGAGATGTCGTATTCTAGGACGCAGCTTTGATCCGAAGTTGTAGCAGTGGCGGGAAGAAACTCCAACGCCTCACGCAGTGTCAACAAATATCAATGAAGAGCTCGGAGGCCAAAAATCTTTCAAGATCGCCGCCCCAGGTCCGAAGTGTCGAAGAGAGAGGCAGGGCGGACGCTTAAAATGGTAATTTGATTAGATCCCGAAAATTTGATTCGACACGGATCGGCCTCATTAGAATACGAAGATGAAAACAGGGCCCAAATTCCTAAGCGGGGAATCATCTTGACATCTCGAATGAAAAGAAGGATCTCCACGTCACGGTCGATTCACTCGTTAAACTGCAAGATTCCTGGCTTCCCGGCGTCCATGAGTGACTCCGGCCGCTTTGAGGCACAGTACGGAGCATGCTCGAAAAATAGTTTTGGATAACGACGCAGACGCGGAATCTGTCAGAAAATTATGGTGAAAAGAGAATTGGTGGGCGTGCATCCGTAATGAGTTCAGCACCCGGTAAATGAGAGTGTCTAACGAAGGGAGGGGAAGACGAAAATTTGTCGAACGCTCCGTCGAAGCATCTGCTGTTCTTTGCCGATTTCGGGGCTCTGACTAGAGGGAGGACTTGATACTCCGGAATTCATCGCGCTCGTGGGCGAAACAGCTGAGCATTGGTCAAAGAAGAGCGCGAGTGATTTCGAGGCCTCGATCGGAGGGGAATTCGGGCGAGACTCGAGAGTCGAGAGGAACGCGTCCCACAAAACCAAATCACGAGATTTCGGGCTGAGATCACCAGGCCCGTGCCCCGTGAACCGGAATCGGATATTGTTCGAGCTAGGGAAGGGGAACTGACAACTCATGTGATGACCTTGTGAGCAGATGATTCTTGTCTGATTCATGATTTACCTCGATGTTGGTAATCCGAAAGCGTGCGCATCCGCTCGCGGAATACTTGTTGGAAGTAAAGACATGGGGATAGGTGAAAGCCGCTGTCATCCGCCTATTAGGGAGAAAGACAGAGAACAATTCCAGGAACATGTGTTCAACATTAATCCTTCAACTTTTCCCCTCGTTCTTTGCCAAGCTCCCGTTTCTCGGTCTTGTTCCGCCACGGAGAACGTGACATGCTCATGGCTCATCGACGTCTGTGGCGGTTGAGAGCCCGGTCGCTCTTCTTTCATGGTCGTGGGCGTTATCAAAAAAGTGTGAAGCTTCTCTAAGCTGAAGCTTTTTCAAAACCAAATATCCATTAAGGTCATCTACGAGAAATTACGTGCGCGATGACTCTTGAATCAAGGGCTGTCGCGTTTCCGAAATTTTTCGTTTCGCGTCGAGTCCCAGAACATAGATGCCCACGCGCCACGCAAATACTCGCCCGCCCCCGATGACTGGATCCAAGAGTTTGGACCTTCCTAGATTCTCTTGAGGAACGCAAATTCGACGTAGAAGCTCGAATTCCAGTCAATTGCCAGGATTCGATAGTCGACAAGAGCTTCGCTGATGTGGGAGCATAGGCATCCTTCGAGACACTCAGTGGTCGTCGGCCACCACCGCTCGACGGAACTTTCATCGGTACTCATTTATTCACGGAGCTGCTCCTTCGACGATCCGTCCGCGAACTTGTCTATCACTCACGTTGAAACGATTCTTCTCCAGGCTGAGCAGAATCCGCGCTGATCCTCAGAACTGCACAGAGCCCTCCATGGACCGAAAGGGCCCATATCAGAAACGCGAGCACTGAACGGATATCCATAGTCATTTCGAGCGATACCCGTCAGACGTCATGACGGAGAAATCCGTTGGAAATTCGCACGTTTCAATCCACATCCTGATCACATCCTGACTCGCAGACCAACGAGTTCGACTGAGCCGCGTTGAATCCACAGCACTTGGTGGCTTGCTACCCTCTCTCAAATGGGAGAGGGCCCCGGTGGCGAGCGCAGGGCTCAGGACCACGCGACAATGACTGTGTGCATTGTTCAATACTAACTACGAATTGAAGCTATATCGATCGAGGATGCCGAACCATGGTTTCAGAGATGCTTCACCATCCCGCATCGAACTTCCGCAACCATTTTCTCGGCCGGACATACCGAAGGGATCGATGGAAAATTCAGACACCACGAAACCGATCGGAAGACACCGTCCAAAAAGATACGGAGACGATAACCTGAGTACTGTTGACTGATGATAATCTGAATCACTGATTATTGGGAGAAGTTCGGCATTCAAGCTTGCAATCGGCAATCGAGTCTAGGCTCCGTGGGCGGCATCCAAGCTGACCCGTATCCACCTGTTCTGAAGTGAAATTCTTCTGCATGACGATTCATGTTCCAGCATCCGGTGAGAAGCAGGCACACCGTTATTCACGTTTTTCATGCATCATCAGGTGCTTCCCTGATGACTAATCGCCTGTCAGGACTCAATCGAGGCTTCCGAGGGTATTTTGCCGACTGCGTTGGAGATGATACACGGTGTGAAAATAAGGGAAGGTACTCCGAGCTCTCACCGCCTCCAACGGCATCACGGATCTCTTAAGGACCTCGCGGGTTGGTTGAGCCGCAGTCCTGACGTCTCAAGCATCTTATGTGGATGAGGCCGAAATCCGACGGTGATGCTGAAACTCGTAGGCGAGCTTTTGTTGCCAAAAATGTTTATCTTCTGTCCGGCAACTGTCCATCCCATCTGCTGACAGCCGCGACGTAACAACTCCAAGTCACCACGTAAGTCGGCAGAAACCAAGTGGCAGGAGCCGCCAACAGAAACCCAAAGGTTTTTGCTTTACGTTACGGTGTGTTCAGCGGAACAGGTTTTCATTCTTTCTCTATTTTCGCTGTTTTTTTGTCCATGTCGTCTTTGAGGGTTTTCTCTGACGTATGAGTTTTTCAAATGTATCTGTGTTCGATTCTATGCGCTTCCAAATGCGCGCTGAGGTGCGTAACTATGACCGTGGGTGTTAACAAAGGCGAGAGATTAATGACCGGCTCTCGGTACAGACTGTTTATTTTGTTTGCTCCGAGGTTTTCGAATACGGCTGACTTTCCTGTCGACAAGCGAAGATTCCTCGTTCCGGTGACCACCTCGACGCTCCCCTGGCCTGCGACTGCCCCTCGCGCCATGTAGGAGATTCCCAGACCTGGTTTCAGTCTGGTTAGAATTATCGTCGAGGGCAGACGCAATGAGCCCCAGCATCCCCGGAGCTCGCAGTTCGAACGTGCGCGCCTCCGTGCAGAGTTGCTGTTCGGTGCCGAAACGGCGGAGGTCGCAGCCAATAGCTGAGAGGTCTGATAAGAGAATGAATATCCTGGATACTCTCATCTCGTGTGGGTCTACCGATCGCGAGCTGCAAAGCTGGTGTGAGAAAGCGCTCCAAACAAGGATTCGAATTTTTTGGGGGAGAAAAACACGGAGAAACAATGAGTATCCAGTCAGCCGGATTCGAAGATGAAATCGCTTGATTGCGTCCGAAAACTTTGAGACATATCTTCCATCGCTGTCGTCTTTCTTGTTGTCGTCTTCGTCACTTCTCAGCGGGCGATAGGAGAGGCTGCCCGAGGATCTTCGCAAGCGTTTTTGCTGTCGACTCAACCAACCGCAACGGATTGTCTTACGGGATGAACCAAAAAATACGAGGCTTTGTCGCTCCAGGGACGCCGGACTCCAGCTTTGTGTCACAATAAGTCGATTTGCCATCTCGGACCCTGCTCTAATTCCCCATTATCTCAATCGAGAGCGTCTGTCACTCTTGTTCACTCAGAAAGCAGAGTTTCGACCTCGAGATGTATTGCGGAGCCAGGGTGTGCTTTACGACTGTTCGCAATGATCGAGTGGATTTTTTGTGCGGCTCAATCTTCCATGCGGGCCTAGATTTCCCGAAAGCTTGTGCATCGAGACTTCTCCGGAATGGATACCAGGCGATGTGGCGCTCTGATTCCTGTTCGGCTACCCGCGACACCCTGTCGAGAGGTCTTTCAGGTACAAATCTGTCAATGCCAACATAAACAGTCGAGCGATGAGAGTTTTACGCCACTGGAAATTCTCCGAACTCGTAGATGAATGTGAGAAACAGTGCCTACTACTTCTAGAGTTTCGTATCTACACACTGTTTCTCTGGCTGACCCACTCACTCTGTGAGCTAGTGAGTGAACGAATGAGTAGGTTCTGCTCGTAGGAGAGGTCTGAATATACCTTGCCTTCACGGACGGATTTCGGGGAATGCGCCGCGCCGCCGTCAGGTGTGTCCCATGCCTTTCTAACCCCCGGAATGTCGTCTCTCGGAAACCTCTCATCTACTATGCGGTGTGAGTTCGTGGAACAAGCCTGGGAGCGGATCTCATTGATGTGAGTTGATGTTTCCATTTGCATTCGTTTCTTCTCTCTGAGCTGCATCGATCATCTTATGTCACAACATCGGTTTTTCGAGAGCGATGCATGAGCATATTTTTGCCCGAACAATGTTAGAGGGTCTCTCCGACTGGAAAACCAGTGGAGGAGCTTGATTGATACTGGAAATACTTTTTTTCACCGAACGTCGACGATTAATCTTAATGCCGGCTCGAAAATCCATTTGTCACCGGATGCTCGACTTGGGCTTTAATGGTGTCTTGTCCACCAGTAGCACAAACGGCAAGCATCATCCAGGAGCAGCTATGGCGGGAGAAGGACCAGCCGAACGTCAGAAAGTGCATGTTAGGCAGCAGAATCGTTCTTTCACGAGATCGCTTAGCAGCGCAGGGGAGGATGAGATTTTTGAGAAAAAAGGTGGAAGCGCCACCCGGTGATGGTCGACTGAAGATTGACACGACCGAACGGTGCCGCGAAAGGAACACAGAAAAAGACTTGACTGCGACCTGAGCGAGGCGAGAATTCTGAACGATAACCGCCCGCGATCATTGAAGTCGTCGCGCGCCCGGAGCTCTTAGCCGGTCGGAAGGAAAAACTTGAATTTCAACACCGCTCCGATCGGTCGAGAATGATTTATATTTTGAGAAATTATGTTCGTTGAAGTCGCTCAGCGAAAAGATTGCCAAGCGGGCTCCGTAATAAGCAGGTACTGCTCCCGGTAGAGGCATGTGATTCAAGCGAAACATTATCCGAAACCGAGGGCACCCGACATGTCGACGTCGCGCCGTGGGACTCATCCTCAAATCATAAGGACCAAAAGCCATCGCGAAGCCCACTGGAGGATTTGAGAAACAGCTTCACTGGCTATGCCTTTGGCGAGAAGTTACCTCTGTGACGCGCGACCATGGTTAGACCACTATTGCATCGGATTGAGACGTTCGAAGTTTAAGTCGGCTGCGATCTTTGAAATTCCCGTTCTCTGGACAACCATCCATCTGATACAATCAGGCTCCACCGGTGAACGCTCATGATATCACCCTTACACCTGTGAGGGCCATTTTTGGAAGCGCCGACTCGCGCCGTCCACCCTATCATCACGACGACGAGTATGGAGCGGAAAATCGATACTATTCGATTGTACAGGGGAGTCGGCGGTGCGAACGGAAGAATGGATCCGTGTTCGGATTCGCTAGTGCTCTCGAATCTTCGATGCCTGATACCTATATTGATCTCCGGAGTTTCAGTTTCAACCTGGAAGAGGATTCCAACGGGAAGATTATTGAACGCTTATCACGATAATGTTCCGCGGAGCGAAAATAATTCCCGATGCCTGCTGCTTCGAACATGTGCACGGCGAAATTGCGCAATAATAATCACAGAGCTGTCAAGCGGTGAAAGAAACATAATGGCATGTCCAATCGATCGAACAACAGCAACGGCAACCGCCGTCGCATGGAGCTGTTAGTTTCTGCTAAATAAGAACTCCTTCGCGGAATAGAAGCGCGAGCATGACAAGACGAGAGCGAGTCGCGTGGTGGTCTGGTTTTCGGGGAAGTTGACGAGTTTTTTTTGAGCCTGCTCCTCTGATTCAGCACCTGGGAACACTTTCGAGCCCTCTTGCTCATCGGGTGTCTTCCCTGCCAGCACAAGGAACGTTCGATCCTTAGGACGATCTACGAGCGAGCGTAATGTATGTCAGGACCCTTCCATATTCTCGCCTCTTCCTCGACGCAGACTCCAGTTTACACCAGGAAAGGTGTTCTGCCGCCTCCGCTTCGAACTCGTGTATCGATCTATATTTGAGCGTTCCCGCTATTTGATGAAATCTGCTCTCGCTCTCTTTCAATCTCTCTGTACGTTTTTCTTGTTGAAATATCTAATCCGCTGAGAGGCGGATCGGAGAGAACATCTTGACACTGTGATGACGACTGGGAAGGGGCCGAACGTAAAATCGACAGAAATCGTTTCGATCAATCTTTTTTTTCTTTTTCTCTCTGAGACATTCTGCTCCGGGGCTCCGAGGCATTCGGCACACATTAGCTTTGAAATGCTCGCTGCTATTGTGTCTGACACACACAATTGGAACCCTGACGCACAGAATTTAGACAGAACTCATGTCGGCCGATAACCAACAGAAAAACTTCAGTAATCCCAAAGTGAGCACGGTTCTATTTTTCCAACGAAGCTCCGCGACTCGGGCAGGGAAGCTCAGCCCTGGCTCCTCCTCGAAGATCGGGACTGAATGCCATTGAATTTGAGACCCTTCCGTGGGGAATCCACTCCTCTTCTCGAGAATCGCAGAATCGATTTCTATAATATGTGTCCACAGACAATGGGGAATGATGACTCTCAGACTTTGCTCAGAGATAAACGAATGACTGACTGTAATTCGCTGGGGGCAACATCATCGATTGTGTAAACTTCCCCTCTGGTCAGACTGATTCATGGAAACGAGCCGTATTCAAGGCAGCCAGGATCTTGCTGCCCCCCTCCAACTCGAGCAAACTTTGCCAGGAAGGAGA